AAGGAGGAAGTAGATAAAGAAGATGATGGCAATGGATGAAGAAGTTAACGCAATTACCATGAACTACAAAACTAGCAATCACTATATGTCAAAATTTACAAATCTATACCAATTTTATCATAGTAAGTAATCAGGTTTCCCTAGTCCGTAGGTTAAGCATGACTATCTCCAATGGTAGGATTAATTGGAGTTTTTTTAGGGGAGTCTATTTTTTATAAAGGATATCAATAAGTTGGTATCTAAACTACTCAAAAATAAAGGTGAAATTTAAATACTCAACTTTGAATCTCATATAATAAGAATTAACTAGGAACTAATTCTATCCCTTGATCTCTTAAGATCGAACGGCCGTAATTTTTCCCGTGTCATTAATTGCCATCCAATCATTTTCTTTTGATTTTTAATTTTCTCCCTCTCTCTCTCATCGTTCATCTGCTTCAGCATTTTCTCCAATCTTCGTTCTTCGTCCAGATTTTTTCTTTTGATGTAAGTTATGTTTTTGAATTTCTTCAGTTTTAATTTTACATTTTTACGGTATCAATGTTTTTGTTATGAATTAATCACAAAAGGGTATTTGATGAACATATAATCAATTTGTCGAATCCTAAAATTGATTTTCAATAATTGTATTTAGTGATATTTTGTTGTTAATTGACAATTCAGTACAAGCAGAATTTGCTTAAATTCCATCAAATTTGAGAGAAATCAAGTGAGTGCTTAATTTACCGAATTATAAAAGAAATTTTTAATTTGGAATTGGTGATAGTCATTGTAGACACCCAATTGTGTCTCCCCAAAACCAAATCCAGTGATGAATACCTTTCACGTCGAATCATAATCGAATGAAGTGAAAGTGTGAAAAGTCTAGTTTTGCGGTTAGTTTTTATTAAAATCTTTCTTTCTGTTTTCAAAAACCTGATCTATTTTATGAAAATAGCCAATACAGTTTAGTTGGATCCATGATAAGGGTCCAATAATAGTGTAGTTGGATAGGGCTCGAAAAGAGATTTTCAATGATATATTATAAGCCCAATTTCGATGAATAATGAGGAAGCTAAGTTATGGCCAAAATACTAAACTGGGCCCAAATCGGATTTTACCTACGACCCAATGATCATGTGGAGGGTCCAAAGGTTTAATCCTATTCCTAAACTAATTAGGATTTATTAATAGATTCTATGAGTTTCTAAAAGATCTTAATTATCCTTTTTGAAAAAATAAAATCAAAGAGTTTGAAATTGAATAAAAATTTCCTTTTTTTTAATCCTAATTCTATTCGAATTTAAAGATGTTCAAAGACAGCCAGATATTATTTTTTCCCTCATAATCTTTACCCAAGACTTATATGGTTGGTTAGATCTTGAAATTATCTTTCTAATGATATATTATAATATTAATTCCGAGTTATAACGAAAAAGATATGAATGGAATACGAAACTCTATCCAAAACTGACACTGTTCCACTATTTAGGCCATATTTTTTGTCTACAAAATATTTTAATCTTATTTTAATTGTGTTGGAAAGTAGACTTCAAGATCTTTCCAACGACATATTATATTCCTTATTTGGACTTCTAGATCAAAAGATATGATGAAAACAAAATCCGCAAAAAACTGTCTCAGCACCGCTAGACGACAGGTTCGTCGTCAGGTGCTGCACTGGCGATGAGCTTTGTCGTTGGCGACAGGAGGGTGTTTTATTCCTTTTTGAACTCTAATTCCTTTCTATCAATTCTGTACTATTTTCTTATAAATAGGGTCCTTCGACCTCCGTTTTTCAATAATCAGAATTCACTAATTCTTCTCTCTCTAAGCTAAGGCTTATTCTCTCTCTCCCTCTTTCTAGCCTAACCTTTTACAAACACAATTCCTCATACATTAGCACTAGACACACCTAGCCAAAGTCGAAGTTGCCATCGCCCTAGACGCGAAAGGTTTGATATTTCTGAGGGTTTGTTCCCAAATCTCTATTTCAATTATTTAATTTAATTGTTTAACGTGTGTATTTTGTTATTAGAAAGAGATACGAGACATCGAAGTTAGTACTTTAATTTCTTTATTGATATTATGATATAGAAATCATGCTTAGATTGTTATTTTGATTCCTAGTATCATGTTAGGATGTTTTATTGCTTCCTAGTATCATGTTTAGGGTTACTTAATATTTTTAATATCAAGTATGATTAAAAGAATGCTTCCTATTTCTTTCCTAATATCATGTATCATGTTAGGGCTAAAGCTTTGATCTTTAATGTTTAGTGACATGCTAGGGTTTGTTATTAATCATGTTAGTATCATGCCTAGGATCTTGATATTAATATTATGCTTTATTTTTAACATGATTATGATTGTTACTATGATTATAATTATTACTATGATTATTATGTTTTTTGTTATTGCTTGATCACGCCTTTTTTGTATGTTTAAAGGGAATTTGTACTTGTAATCACGCTTAATAAGATAATTAATAATCTTGTTTAGGGTTAATATGATTATAATTCAAGTGATCGTCAATAATAGTTTTATTTGTGCATTAATATTCAACCAACATAGATAAACAGGTTTAGGGTAATCTATTGATTGCATGTTAGTCAGAAAGCGCACATGAATACGAGAAGAATAAAGTAGAGGCCTATTTTTAGGGCAAGTTTAATCTCTTTTAGGTTGGATTTGTACCTTCATCCCCGAACTTCCAATCGTGGTTCCAAAACTATTGGAGTTAACGATCTCCTGGATCGTTAAGGGGTGCAACCTTCACCCTATAAACGATTTACAAGTTTCTAAAACTTGTTGGCGACTCTTTTGCTCTAACTTTCTTCTCTTTGGAAGCCACCATACTTAAGTGTATGATCACATTCGGGTTCAAGTTTAGGATAATGCTTGAAATATTCCCTACAGTCATAATCTTATTTTTTTTATTATGATCAATCTTCGGCTATTTTTATGTGAGTTTCTTAAATTTTTGTTTTGTTAAATTTAGATTTAATTGATTTGTATATATCTCTTTAAAAGTAAAATAAATTTCTAAATGCGCACTAACTGTTTGACAAAATGCCCCAATGAAACTCATTTTTCTATCAATTTCAAATGTAGATAAAAACTAAGTAAAAGTAATGCAACTACGTATTAAAGTAAATCAAAATATTAAAATTACGATATTTCAATTTCTTAGCTTCCTCATTTCTATGTCATGATTCTTTGGTTGTTACTGTGTTAATAAGTAAAATTAAAATGACATTGAAAAGTAAACTACATTCCTCAAAAAGTAAGCTACATATTGTTTGTTAGACCAGTTTTACATTCTCTGTGTAGACTAGTCTGCAATATCAAACAACAAGATTCAAGGGATGTGGACCTCCTAATATTGTTTCTGTATAGTAGTCTTGAAATTAAAGCACAAACTCTTGTTTGTCTTTAATTATTCACCTTGCGAAATAATTGATATAGTTCTCCCAAATAATCGATATAATTCTACAAGAAACTGCTGCTAGTTTTGGGTCAAAGGCCACTCCAACTCTTAAGTGTTATTATCCTTATTAATTATAGCTTTCAAAGTAAATTTAGCATAATTTGGCTTATAGTTTGCTTGTCATAAGCATATAGCAAGTTATCCATGCCATTTATTTCCGCACTTTTGTACTAAAATAATTGTCATGTCTCATGGCTTCAAAAATTGAAGAGTTCCTTTAGATCTTATACATGGTGGAGATTATTGTGTGCCTAGGACTTATACTGATTAAAGATGAATGATTATTGTTTCTTGTATTTTGGTTATTTCTAAAAGTAGATAGAAATTGGTATAAAGTAAATCATTTAGTCTCAAAAGTATGTTTTTCCTCTTCATTAAATAGTAGATAGAAATTTAATAAAAGTAAACTAATTAGACTCAAAAGTTAATATTTTGTAAGATTAAGTTGGAATCATAGTTAGGTTATCCATTAGGTTTGAGGGTTAGAAAATGCAGTATCAGGATAAGGATTGTAAATGGTTTAAACAAGGAGACTAACAAAAAGTGTTCTACAAGTACCTGTTGTTTGCACTCTAACGTTTACCCGGGCTTCAGAAGGATGAGGAATGTTGTACCCACAAAACGATACTCGTGGACTGCAATATTACAGCAGAACATAATTACAAAATGAATAAAATATGCTCATAATAGCGGACTTAAAACATTAAAATTGCAGGACATTTAGCATGCTCATAATAGCATACTTAAAGACATTAAAATTGCAGGGCATTTAGACTTAAAGACATCAAAATTGCAGGGCATTTAGCATTGCAAAGTTTTGGCTCCAAACACAAACTCACTATAAAAGTTTTAACTCTTCTAAGTATCCAATGGAAAAAACACACTGCAATGGTAAACACACTGCTGTACAATTTGTATTCTTGGTTTAACAGAGAATCGCTATAGTATACTTTTGTGAAGCAAAATGAAATATGGGTAGGGATATATAAATCATATGTCTCTAAAAGTAAATAAAAAATAGTATAAAGTTAATAAAGCAAGCTATATAGTAAACCTATTAGCTCAAATGGTAGAGCACTATGCAGATGTATAGAGGTGTAGGTTCAATTCCTACATATGTTATCTCTAAAAATAACTACCAAATACTCTAAAGTTATTCAAAATACCTCAAAAGTAAATCAAAATATTTCAAAAGTAAGTAGAAAAACTAGAAAAGTAAATGAATATATCTCTAAAGTAAATCAAAACAACTCCGAAAAGAAATCAAAAGTAGAGCATAATATGTCAAAAGTAAATCATAATGAATCAAAAGTAAATAAATTATGCTAAAAAATTAATAAACATATCATTGAAGTAAATCAAATTAAGTCTTAAGTGTACGAAACTACGAATAGTAAATTACCTTAAAATGATAAATTACTAAGGAAACTTTGTTATTGCACAAAAGTCAAAGTCATTGACTTTCATATCTGTACAAGATGAGTCAAATTATAAGAAACAAAATTAAAAGTAAATTAAACTATATCCAAAGTAAACAAAAAAACGAAGAAATTTAATAAAACATTACGACTTCTAATCTTCAAATTACACACATAAATCTACGTGGGATTCGAACCCACATCTTTTGTGCACTTGTTGACTTGCACAATGCTCTACCTATTGAGCTAGTAGGTTATCATAGAGTAAGAATAATTAGTTAACACAATCGATCATTTTTATTTTCTTTATGCTGAAAAATCACAAAAGTAAATAAAAATACTCAAAAGTAAATAATAAAAGCTTAATTATAGAAATCGCATCTCCTTCCAACCATGTTTACGCTTTTCGCTGCACACACTCTCTCATTAAACTAGTGCTTGTGCTGTTGGTGTGCATGTTGTTTCTGGCTTTATGTTGTTGCATGTCCAAGGCCTTGATGCCAAAGCTTGGGGGCCTTTCGCTGAGCTGCTGTAATACTTGCTACTATACTATGCCTATGTTGTTGTTGTGGACTGCTCATGGAGCAGGCTCTGCTCATGCTTCAGCTGCTCCTCACAAGCTTCCAAGGTGCACAGGTTGCACTCTTGCTCACATTAGCTTCCCGTTTCTCTCAAATCTAAGAACTCCCGAGAAACATTTACAACATCTGAGTATACAAATCACAATAGTATACAGTCTAAAAAATCCAAATCAATATTAAGCATAATACAAATTACAATAGTATACAATCCAAAAAAATCCAAATCAATGTTGACAACATCTGAGTCATTGACTTATATCACACTACCACAATATGAGCCAAATTATAATCTACTCTACAATCAACAAAATTAACCAAATAAGTAGTATAAGAGGTCAAGTAAATGGTTTTGAAATAAAAGTAAGAAAAATTATACTGAAGTAAATAAACTATGATGACCTCTTTATTAATTTGGCTCATTGATTAGGTTAAGGGCCTCATGAAGGGTTTGTCATTTGTACTAAGATAGTCAAGGTTGTTGGACCTATAATCATGTTGCCACCCTCAAATTAAAAATGGGAACAAATGATAAATGAGAACACAATTAAGAAAATAACCAGCAAGGAGTTTAATCTAGTTCAGTAAACAAGGAGTTCTTCGGAATAACTGATAACACAATAAAGAAATGCTCAAAATTAACCGTATATTAGCCTCAACATCTCTAAGGTTAGAGTTAATAATGCAGCCACTCAATAACTGCATCAAAATTAGAGTGACCAAAATGTAAATGCATGGTCAGAATTCGACATCCTTTCGTCAAACCTACTGTCCTTTTCTAGCCTTATACCTCCTACTAACAGAACTCCACTAACTCATCATCATATTATAGTCTTTCTTCTTTCAAGCATTTCATCAAACATGTAATACTCAATCTAAAGCTGTAGTTTAATCCAAAAAAAAACGTATACTGCAATATATAGAAATTACTGAATAGCTAAGATAATTCAGCACCTACCTTAATTAAAAGATACTAAAAATTAAAATCTTAAAATTATCATGCAAACAATTGCCTAGAAGAAACGGTAGAAGTGTTATTAACATAAACACTATATATGGATTCAAGTGCAAATAATCTCACAATGATTCAATTACAGAATTATTAACATGAACATTAATACAAAATCAAGTATCGAAATTCACTCAAAAAAATCATAGAATTATCATGGCAGTCCAAACAAAAATTCAAATTCAAACTTCTCTAAATTCTCACATGACTTAATCAATATACTCAAAAAAGTATACTTATCTAGCCTAAGTCCACAACATGTCAATGGAATTTTCATAATCAAAAATCACATATCCTAAAATTACAAAAACCCTAATTTCGCAATCAAAATCGCAAAAAAACTTGTTTCAAAATCAAGCAAATTCAAAATTAAACCGAAATTTACATACCTTAATAGATTATCACGAGAAATTGATGAGCAAAAGCGAAAAAATTGAAAAACGAAGAAATAGAAGAGCGAAGAAAAAAAATCGTCTCTTTAGAGAATTGGGAGGAACAGAGTGAAAATCTAAAGAAGAGAGAGAAAAAATAAAGCGTGTGCAAGAATTAGAACAGAGGTCATTCAAAGCCTTAAATTACGAAAATTCCCTTAATAAGGCGAGTGAAACTTCAGCCGTTAGATACAGCGTGATCTACGGTCCCAAAACCACCATATCTCCACTTTGTATATATATATTAGTATACTAAAAAAAATTATTGAAAGTTGGGATTATTCCTGCCTATGTGAAAAACAACTCAATTTGTATTTCATTTAGAAAAAATTGACAGGAATAATCTCAACTTTTCTTCATTCGCTTAAAATAATCCCAACTTTGGATTATTTTTTAATAACCCGAACTTTATTGTGAAATTCTAATGGCGCCCAAGTGACCTGTAACCATTTGAATAGGTAAATTTCAAAAAAAAAAAACTTACACATGTCACTACATAATTGGTCAAAAACACTAATTAACAAAATTATTAGTTACTAATCAACACTTAACTAAGTAAATATAACTAATTACTTAAAATTAATTAAAAAAAAAACCACCACCATCAGCCACCCGCCTTGCCCCCACACACCCAGCCCTTCGCCGCCGCCCCCATTCCTGGTCGTGCCTATAACCCCCTTGTGTAGGCAATCACCACTCAAAAACTTCAAGCGTCGCCCCTAAACCACCATATCTCCACCGCGTAACCCCTCTCCCTCCCCCGAAAAATCCCTAAAAACCTCTCCCTCCACCGCATAAAGCCTCCAAATGCCTTGCATCAACTTAATTGGAATCTGTGGTGAAATGCTTGCTCGAATTATTTATCAGTTTGGATGATTTTTTTTTTTTTTGAAACTATAAAATCGGATGAGTTTTGTTGGTGAATTAAGGGGTTTCGTGATGGGGGGTTTTTGGTGGTTTAGGGGGGTAGGGGAGGGGAAGGGGATGGGTCAGGGAGCGGCGGCGGCCAACACCATGGCGGGAGAGTTTGGCGGGGGTGGGGAAGGGAGGTGGTTGGGTTGGTGGTTTTTTTTATTAGTTACTATTTTTAAAATTATTTTAATTTATATTAATTTTTTTGGCCAATTACACACTGACAAATGTAATCCAACTTGTTATAACAGGTAATTTGACCGGTTAGGACCATTAGAAGAAATTCACCATAAAGTGGATTATTAAAAAATAATCCAAAGTTGGGAGTATTTTTGGAGAATGAGGCAAGGTTAGGATTATTCCTGTCAATTTTTCCTTTCATTTATGAACTCTGGCCTTAATGGAGTACGGAGTAGTAAGGATCTAAGGAGTAAGGACTAAGCACTTGTTCTCTTCAACTGGTTTAGATACTTAGACCATCTCCAATTGTGAGACTCAACTTTGAGTATTGAAATACAAAATGAGTTGTTTTTTACCTCCAATGGTGAGACCATACCCACTTCTCAATTTAGCAACTCAGGTAAAGTCTAATTTCCCAATGGTGAGACTCTCTATAATATACAAATGTCATTTTCAATTTATGGACCACCATTAATTATTGTAAGATTAAAAAATAAAAAAAAAGTAAAACTTAAATTAATTACAAAATATATTAGAATATTAATAAGGGCCCACACTTCTTGTCAAATCAGACTCAAATTTGAGTATCTAAACTTAGCAACTTTCTTTTGGAGTTGCTAAGTTTAGATACCAACTTATTGGTATACATTGCAAAAAATACTCTCTCTCTCCTAAAAATACTCACTTGAGTTTCACCATTGGAGAGGGTCTTATTACTTATTTTATAATAAATTCAAATAAGATCAAACTAAACCAGAAATATTCAGATAAGATCATATCAGAACTTTTAATTATCATTTACTTATTGCTAAATATCGTTGATTGCGTAGTATTATTTTTTTTATGAAAACAACCCGCTTTGTGTGTAGTGTGACCACTTATTAAAGAACAATGTAATCTCTATAACAATAACCAAGTAATCCCTGTGATATTAACCGAGTAATCCCTATAACACTAACCGAGTAACCCTTTAACACTGACCAAGTAGCCCCCATAACACTAACAAAGTAACCCCTATGATGGCTGGTCACACCGTGTGGCATGTCACATATAAGAATTTGTGTCATGAAAATTATATATTTAAAAAGTTCATAATGAGGCGAATCTAACACAATCCATTTTGATAATGTTTTTCCGTTAGAGACTAATATTAAAATGTAGTCAAATTATTAAATCAGACAAACCAAACTACATAATAAAAATTCAAATCAGATTAGATCTCTTTTTATTTCAGGTGAATTCCAAGTGAAGAGAACAGGAGTGTGTGAAAATTATTGCTGATTGTTAAAAAAAAAAAAAAGGAAAAATTAGAAATAATAATCCCAATTTTCATCAATTTTGCTACAATAATCCCAACTTTGAATTATTCTGTAATAATCCAAACTTTGGGGGTTCCTCTTTCTCTTCAATCCCAAAAACCGAAAACCGGTTGAATGGGTAATTTTTTATATTTTTTTTAAGTGACACTTGTCACAACTGAATTGGCTAAAACAATTTATAAGAAAATAAACATAAAGTAATCCCTACCTTATCCTTAGTAAGAGATTGCTCTTATGAATAGTGCACGAACCATTATGCCCCTCAAAATATTTGTTTACCTTATTACCCCCATATGTAAATTTGTAAGTTTCCTTACACTTTCTAATTGGGAAATTGTCCTACATTTTCTTAATCATTTATGAGTTTTGAGCTTTCTTTCTCCTTTCTCTCTGTTCACCTTCCTTGAAGTACAAATTTTTTTTCTTAACCCTTATGAGTTTAGTTCTTCTTGTCTTGAAATACTGATTACTCTTGAATATTTTTACTTTCTATTAATTTCTTCTCCATCTCTGTTCACCATCTTTATTGAAGTATATAATTTCACAATCCCAAAATTATATAAGAACAATTAAAATCAAAATTACTTCGTTTTCAATTGGTCATAGTTGTAAAAAAAAAAGATCATATATTTATAAAATTAATATACTTCTTAAAGTTTCACCCCTGCTATATATTGGATTAATGGATTATCAACTACAAGTTTCCATTTGCTATTAATTTCAAATTATAATACTTATTACCAAATTTAAGTGGTACTGTTAAGCTCATTTGCAATTGTGTTGTAGTATTTTAAGAGGAGACAAATGAGGGGCTTTAGCAAGGATCTGGAGTGTTAATCGAATGTGGGTAGATGAATTGAGATTAATTGCCAGAAAGTTTGAATAGTGAATGATAGTAAGAAGAATGACGAACTTCGCTATTTGCCTTTTTTTTTCTATCTCACAATCTTTCTATCAACGGCTATTTCACCAAATGTCACTGAGTAATTTCGAAATCCACCAAATGCCATCGAACTTTTCCAAATTCACCAAATGTCATCGAGTTTTAACAAAATTCACCAAATGTCATTTCCGTTAGTTGACCGTCAATGTCCGTTAGTTGACCGTTAGTTATACCCCACCACTTGCCACGTGTCACCTTCTTATTGGTCCGTTTTTTAAAATAAAAAATTAAACAAAAATTTAAAAAAACCCACAAATATTTAAAAAAATTAAAAATAATAATAATTAAAAAAAACCCCAACCCCAGCCACCAGCCCAGCCCCTATCGCCGGGATCAGCACCGGCAGGCGTGCCAGCAGCCGCCGGCTCCCATCCCTTTCCCCTCCTCTTCCCCCGTCGCGACCCACCGTGACTGACTACCGCAACCAACCTCCACCACCAAAAACTCCCACAAACCACAGCCAACGAATCGAAACCAACCCTCTCCTTCACGAATAGTAGCCTTGCTGCCGTTCTCGATCCTCGCACCAACAATGAAAGCCCCATGAATTTGCAGCAGTATGGTACGCAATTTAACATCAAAAAAAATCATTTAGAGCATAATCAAGCATTGACCCACTTGATCAAATACTACAATTAACGACAAAAGGTACGTAATTTAGCATAATGCTGTAAGTTCATCAATTGGGTTCAATGAACAATCAAAATCCCAGATAAAATTCATCAATTTGACCAATTGAGTACTCTCACATTCTGTTAAAAACAAACAAACCAATTTTACAAAATTCAGCAAAATAACACGAATTAAACAAACCCCACCTAAGAATTTCCCAGAAATTTGACAAAGTTTCAACCTCAATTTCGGTTCGAAATTGAGACTAATGCTGAATTTCCCAGATATTAATTTGCACCTGAAGAAATTAAGGATGGGTTCGGTTTTAATGGAAAGGGAGTAGAGACGGCAGGGGGTGGGGCGAATCGTGTTCGTCGGCGTCGGGGAGGGGGTTTTAGCGCCGGCCGGTGGGGAGGGAGTGTTTTTCGAAGGGAGGGGAGGGGGTTTTAGGGAGGGGTTAAGGTGGTTTAGGGGAAGGGGAGGGTGGTTCGAGGTTGAGGTGGGTGTCGCTGGATCTGGCGCGCGTTTTCAAGGGTAGTACGGCGCCGGCGATAGGTGGTCAGGGTGGAGAGCAGGGTGGCGGAGGTGGGGGCAGGGTGGCTGGTTTTAATTGGTAGTTTTTTTTTTCTTTTTTATTGTTATTTTTTTTAAAATATTTTTGTTTTTTTTTTTTTAATTTTTTTAAAAAACGGACCAATCAGAAGATGACACGTGACAAGTGGTAGGGTCAACTAACAACTAACTAACGGCGGTCAGTCATTAATGGCACTCGGTGAATTTTGTTAAAACTCGGTGGCATTTGGTGAATTTGGAAAAGTTCGATGGCATTTGGTGAATTTCGAAATTACTCAGTGGCATTTGGTGAAATAGCCATTCTATCAATTCTATCTCGGCTTGATGACTCCATTAAATAGATGAATTTGAAAGACCCATCAATTAATTAGAAATAAAAAAAAATTGAATAATAAAGTTTAATTTTTTTTTTTATATTTAATGGGGGCTATGGTTTAATTACATGACAATATTAGTCATTGGACATCTAAAGGTTGTTGCTTTATGTGGGCGTTTTTTTTTCTATATTTTGTGAAGGTCAAAATTAAATTAACAATTTACTCATAATTGTGTTTACAGGACATTGAGACTAATAAAATTAATCAATGATTTTGCCAAAATAGATGTAATAGGAAGAACAAAAACCAAACTGACAACGGTGAAAAGGGGAAGAAAGCAAAAACGAATTCAAGGGAATTATCAAGGGTGGACAAAGAGG